ATAACATTTTTTGATTGTGTTTACAGATTATACTCATCAGCAAAGCCTATGCTAACAGTGGCCGACCCGCAGCTCATCAAACAAATTCTGGTCAAAGATTTCAATGCGTTTCGTAACCGACCCGCACTTCCCGGGCACGATAGGCTGACTTTGTCCAAAGCTAGGGATAATTACTGGAAGAGGCTCCGGGCGATAGTCAGCCCTACCTTTACGTCCACAAAGTTGAGGGGAATGTATGCTCTGATCAACCATTGCTGCGAAGACTTTCTGAATACCTTAGATAAGGATGTGTCGAATGGTATGAATGAAGTCGAGTTGACGCGACTGATGGGCGCCTACACTATGGATGTGATCGCCAGCTGTGCCTTCGCTACCAAAACCAATACATACGCCGATCCTAACAACCCGTTCACCACCAAAGCCAACAATCTGTTAAATGTTCCCGTTTGGAAAGGGATGTTATCATATCTGTTGCCATCATTTATCGTAAACACCGGTATATTCCGTCAAATTCGAAACACTTCCGACAGTGACTTCTTCATCGATTTCACGAGATGTCTAATACGGAAGCGAAAGGCAAACAATGAGAAACACAACGATTTTCTGCAACTCCTGATAAATGCCGAGAGAAGTGATGGCGATATCCGAGAGGCCAGTGATGCCAATGAAGCACATCATGTGAATGAGGGCAGGGATGAGATGATAGCCGATACCGAGGCCTTCGCAGGAGTGGTGGCGAAGAAGTTGACTGAAGACGAGATATTAGCGCAATGTTTCCTCTTCTTCGTCGCCGGTTACGAGACAACTGCCACTACTCTGTCGTACTGTACGTATGAATTGGCTCTCAATCTGGGACTTCAGGACAGACTCTATGAGGAGACCAAAGACGTGTTCAACGAAAAGGGAGAAATCGATTACTCAGTGCTGTCGAGACTACCATTCATTGACGCACTTCTGTCCGAAACTCTTCGCAGTTATCCACCAATACTTCGTCTTTTGAGGGAAGCCATGGAAGACGTAATGTTAGGCAATACTGGAGTTAAGATCGAGAAGGGGATGTCCGTCGAAATTCCTGTATATGCCATACATCACGACCCCGACCACTATCCGGATCCATTTACCTTCAGCCCGGATAGGTTTATGCCCGCAAACCGGGATCACATCCAAGCCTACACTTACCTGCCTTTCGGATCGGGTCCACGAAATTGCATTGGAATGCGATTCGCGTTATTGTCAGCAAAGCTCTTGTTAGCGAAGATCTCACATTCGTTCCGCTTCTCCAGAGTCACCGACACTGACGTCCCCGTAGTCTTCAATAAGGGTCGCCCTATATGTCAGGCCAAACTGCTTGTGGTCGGCATTCAGAAACGATAACCTAATTTAGGTCTATATTTAATATGCTATTACTAATGCATGAATTTAGTTATATGAATCATATAATATGATACAGATTATTTTGATATAATGTTTTGTTTCACAATAGCCACAGTATTTTGAATATATTTATAATCTAAATATAAAAACTCGTCTAATTATTATACTAAATATATCACAATTTAATTTGTTCATAATTCTAATATATATTTACAGTATATTTTAATAAAATATATTAAATTTCATTTAGATTTACTAATTTATGCATACTATAAGTTATAGCATTACTAAATGTAAATGATACCTACTTTTGAAACATACTGATGTAGACACTTTTTTGAAAAATCATTTAATAGAGATGTATTAAATCTATAATTTTATTAAAAGTACACAACACTAGTAATATAAACTATTTATACAAAAATTAGTGACTGAATTTGCAAGCTATTATTTTATTACAGGACCTTTATATTGGTGATATAAAAGACCTTTATAGTCACTATCATAGACTATGATGCTAAATATTATGCGTTTTATAGTGAGTATGTGTATTTAAATAAGATTAATTATAGAAGTTTTATTGAATGCAATACAATTTTGGCAAAATACTATTTAAAGATTGTTGTATAACATAAAAATACTCATTTTAATAAATATAGTAGTTTTATAAAGTTAATTATTTATAATTTAATTAGTTTGTACGGATATCTCGAATTTATATGATTAATAGTTTAGGTTATTTAAGTTTATAAAGAAAAAAAATTCAGATTTTAACATAGCCTGTTCACCTCACGTCCCCACCATAACATTACATTTATGGCAAATGTCCTCCTTGTGGCTGTGATTTCTGGTCACCGTAACAGATTATACAGATAATATTATTAATATACTAAAAATAACATAAAGTTCTTGATTAATTATTATAAACTTCTTTATAAAATTCAATACATTATATCATTTTATTGAGTTGTTTAACGATTATTCAATTTTGAAAATATGTAAAACTAAAACTAGTTTGAGGTCTAAATTAACTTACAATGCGTTAACGGGAAGTGTTATTCAGTTAATTAAATAAAATAAACTAGATTATACTCGTATGGTATGGTATATTAAGATTGTCCAGGTCCGATAATCTAGCGGGATGTCTTAGATGTCCAAATCGGTGATTATATTAGGAGCGTGCTATAAAAACTCTATACATTTTTGCATTGTTAAATCACTTAAGTTTATAATGAGACACAAAAAACTAGCGTTGTAACAAATTTAGTAATATGTACAATATTTTAAATGAATTGTAACTGTTAGTGTGGCTCGGATTAATATGAATGTGCATCGTAGAACATAACTAACCTTATTATTTGTAACCTATTTATGCGCCCAGACCTACAGTTCCCGACGCGGTTAAGAAATGTCGCACGGCAGGAATTAAAGTGATCATGGTGACCGGGGATCACCCCATAACCGCCCAGGCTATTGCCAAATCCGTCAACATATTCACGCACTCACACCGTCGGTCCACAATAATATCGGCGCCGCAAACGGACGCACAGATACGCGGGAACACCGCCTCCATTGTGGTGACGGGTGAGGACCTCACCGTTATGACTGACCCGGAGCTCAGGGCGGTGCTCGCCGATTACCAGGTACCTAATCAAACCATACATACATTATTTAAAAATGTAAAATGTGTTTAAAAATATGTTTTTCGCAAATCAGGAGATAGTGTTCGCGCGGACGTCACCGCAACAGAAGCTCCGGATTGTGGAGAACTGCCAATACTTGGGCCAAATCGTGGCCGTGACGGGCGATGGGGTCAACGATTCGCCGGCGCTTAAGAAGGCCGACATCGGCATAGCCATGGGAATCACGGGTGAGCTATCACTGACAAAGCAAGCGATCTCTCTCTCTCTCTCTCTATGTCTAAATACAACCTCGGTGATAAAACAGTATTTTTTAGCAAATGAGTAATTTATTCTGACAATGCCCAGGGTCGGACGTGTCGAAACAGGCGGCCGACATGATACTAATGGACGACAACTTCGCGTCCATTGTGTTGGGCATCGAAGAGGGCCGACGGATATTCGACAACATGAAGAAGATCTTGGTGTACATTATGACGGGCAGTGTATGTACGCTATGGCCGTACGTACTGTACCTCATATTCGGCTTCCCGCTGGCCATGGGTGAGGTAACGGTGCTGTTGGTGTGTTGCGGCACCGACATCATGCCGGCCATATCGCTGAGCTACGAAAAGTCCGAGTCGGACGCCATGGTATTACGGCCCCGTAGGCCGGGCGTCGATCGGCTCGTAACGGGACCGCTACTCTTGAGGTAGTGTATAGTGTGGCGAATGATAATTTTTTATTAAATTAACCAAGTTACTTTTGCGGTCGTACGCAGGGCGTACGTGATGCAGGGACTGGTGCAGGTGTGCGCCGGGTACTTCGGGTACTTCATGACCTTCTGGTACGCCGGGTTTGTGCCGACTCGCATGTGGCAGATGCAGACCGACTGGGGAAACGCCGGCCTTAATATCACCAACGATTACGGCGATGTCATCGTAAGCGTGGCTAATAAATGTGTGCTTCAATGTAACAAAACTGGCATTTCCACTCGGCTTTAATAATGATTGTTTAGATTTGAAAGCAATTTATAGTCATAGGGTTTACATGAGACACGTCCTGTGAATTGCTTTTATATTTCATGTGTGAGTCCGAGTTGAAGGTTTTGTTATATTTATACACATATAGCGTTCGTATGACTAATTAAAATATGTTTAAATGATCATGCTCACACACACACAGACTTACGACCAGAGATCGGACATCTTAAGCGAGGCCCAGTCGGCCTACTTTATTATCGTAGTGATGACCCAATGGTGTGATGTAGTCGTGTGTAAAACGAGACGATTGTCTCTATTTCAACACGGATTCGAGTAATGATTATTGAGATATACATAAACTAATCGGTTAACAACATGTCCTTGCTCACTCACCACTAGTAATCATGTACTGACGTTCGCCCTGTTCTTCGAGACCGGACTACTGGTGCTGTTCTGTTACACGCCATATATCAACGATGCCCTCGCCCTGAGGCCCGTAAACCGGTGGGTGTGGCTGATGGGCGTGCCCTTCATTATATACATCTTTGTGATGGATGAGTTGAGAAGATTATTCATCAGGAGATATCCATTTTCATTTTTCACCAAGGAATGGATAACGTAACAATTAATTAGGACAATTAAAACCCGTATTAAAATGTTTGATGATAAGTTACTTGTACCCAGTAGCAAGGTTATTTTATTAAGTTAAGAAAACACGTACGAATATAAATGTATTTTGACCACAGTTAAATAGGTTAAGTTAGGTTAGGTTTAAATAATGACTTTTATTAATTGATAATAAAATTATCGAGCTGAATAATGTTTAAAAAATGTATTTTAACAAATTTATGATAATTACAATAATTTTTGAAATAAAATAATTTTTTATTTAAAACAATAAAAATTGACTTATATATTTTGTAATAAAAGGTTTGTTGAAAAATAAAACATTAATTATATGATACCAATACAATTATATTGGTGCATTACTTGCAAATGTGTTACAATATTTGTATAAACATGATCTTGTTAATATTTTGCTGATATTGAGCAAACAATTCATGTTGTTATAATATGATAAAAGCAAACATTTCCGTAAAGTCATCTGGTTCAGTTTCATTGATTTAATGGCTCAGGTTTTGATATCTTAGTTATCAAGATTGTGCACATTCTTGTGATCCATTATGAGAAAGGTTTCCGAGACCCATGATTATAATTAAATTTTACTAATTTTTCTAATTTTTAGTCAATAAAATTAATTAAAATAATAATTTTGATTTTAAAACAATATTTACAGACATAATACTGAAAATAATCAGACATTTGACACTTTTATATATAGGGTTTCATGGATATATGGTAAATGTGCTCATGAATTCTACATGTATTATACATCCAATGTATTTCTATCCACCCTAGTAATCGGACAATAAAAGTGTGATGTTTGATTAAAAGTAAAACAATTTTAATTTGGATTATTAAAATAATATTATCTTGATACATTATTCTGGATTTACAATGGAAGCAAATAAAAGGTTACCCGGATTACATATTTAAAATGAAATACTATATAATTGTAGACCATTTAAGTTATTATATACTTCAGTGAACTGTATTGTAGTTGAGAACAAATAATTAAATTGTGATATATTTAGTGTAATAATTAGACGAGTTTTTATATTTAGATTATAAATATATTCAACATAGCTCAAAATAATTTGTATCATATTATATGATTCATATAACTTAATTCATGCATTAGTCATAGCATATTAAATATGTATGTAAATTAGGTTATCGTTTCTGAATGCCGACCACAAGCCGTTTGGCCTGACATATAGGGCGACCCTTATTGAAGACTACGGGGACGTCAGTGTCGGTGACTCTGGAGAAGCGGAACTTCTGAGAGATCTTCGCTAACGCGAGCTTTGCCTCCAATAACGCGAATCGCATTCCAATGCAATTTCGTGGACCCGATCCGAAAGGCAGGTAAGTGTAGGCTTTGATATGACCCCTGTTTTCGGGCATAAACCTATCCGGGTTGAAGGTAAATGGATCCGGATAGTGGTCGGGGTCGTGATGTATGGCATAGACAGGATAAAGCTGCCTGTAAGGGAAGAGCTAGAATTCAGGTCACAACGGATTGTAATGCAGAAGGTACCGAAGGGAGTATTCTGCTTCATAACCGCCTATTAACGCTTCTCAAAGCCTGTCTTCACGCAGTTTGAATGGTAGTCTCGACAGCACTGAGTAATCCATTTCTCCCTTTTCATTGAATACACCTTTGATTTCCTCATAGAGTCTGTCCTGAAGTCCCGGATTGATGGCCAACTCATACGTACAGAACGATAGAGTGGTTGAAATTGTTTCATAACCGGCGATAAAGAATAGCAAACATTGCGCTAAAATCTCGTTTTCAGTCAACTTCTTCTCAAACACTCCACTGAAGGCTTCGGCATTGGCTGTGATCTCATCCTTACCCTCATTCACATGATGTGCTTCATTGGCATCACCGGCCTCTCGGATATCTCCTTCAGGTCTCTCGACATCCATTAATAACTGCAGAAAATCGTTGTGTATTTCCTTATTATCTCTCCTTTTCTTTATTATACTTCGCGTGAAATCAACGAAAAATTTCCTTTCAGTTAGAGTGCCGCTAACGAAACGTCGGTATAAATTAGATTTAAATATAAATGAAGGCAAAAGCAATGATAACATCCCTTTCCAAACGGCAACATTGATTATATTGAACGCATTGGTAGTGAACGGGTTGTTAGGATCGGTATATGTGTTGGTTTTGGTGGCGAAGGCACAGCTGGCGATCACATCCATACTGTAGGCGCCCATGATTTGCCCCAACTTCACTTCATTCATACCATTCGACACATCCTTATCCAAGTTATTAAGAAAGTCTTCGCAGCAATGGTTGATAAGACCATACATTTTCCTCACTTTACTAAACCTGAAGGCAGGGCTGGCTATAGTCCGGACCCGTTTTCAGTCGTCATCCCTAGCTCTGGACATATTCTTGAGGACCAGTCCATTACTCCGGGGTTGATAAGACCATACATTTTCCTCACTTTACTAAACCTGAAGGCAGGGCTGGCTATAGTCCGGACCCGTTTCCAGTCGTCATCCCTAGCTCTGGACATATTCTTGAGGACCAGTCCATTACTCCGGGGCCGTGACTGTCGGTTACGAAATGCGTCAAAATCTTTGACCAGAATCTGTTTGATGAGCTCCGGGTCGGCCACTGTTAGCCTGGGCTTCGATAATATGTATAATCTGTACATACATTCAAAAGGTTCAAAATTTGTTATTCATTTTCAAGTCATAATTACCCATAAACTTTGCCGTATGTCTTATACCACTCCATCTCCACAAATGGTCGCACTTTTAGGGCATTATTCAAGTAGTTTCCGACTATAGGTAAGGGTTTTGGACCACAAATGTGTCGATCCTTCCAATAGCTTAAGGCATTCCTCCACCAACTCAATGAATGAATGAATTTATTTCACGAAAGTTTTAAATTAATTGTAATTTATTAATAAAATCTAATAAATGTCTTACAAGTAGTAGTACGCGATCACCGCCACAATGAGTCCTATGAGACACCACTCGTATGTCTCATAAATCGGTGCCAACACTGACTCCAACAGTAGTCATAATTCACGGGATGTTTAATAAGTCTACTATTATTTTAAACTTAAATTTAAAACTTATAAATATAGAATAGTTTGCTCAATGTACTTTTATACACAATTTTTACAAGTCACACATTAAATGTTTTTTCAAAAAATTGTCAGCAAAATATGAACAAGATCCTGTTTATTGATACTATAAATAAATATTTAAAACTTAAACTAAAAATGGATCCTGTTTACGCAAAAGTATAACATTTGCAAGTAATTCACCAGCGTAATTGTGTTAGTTCAGTATCATGTAGTGTTGCCAACACTTTGTTCGGGATTGGAGGACAGAAAAGTGAAATTATTATTTAAATTATAAAAATTTTTATTTTTATTTGGTATAACAATATTTTTGGATTATTTTTAATCAATTTATCTGGTATTTAGTGATTTTATCGGAAGAATTTCATATTATAAACAGAATTAAGCTACATGAAGATTTTAATTCAAATTCAAATTCAATCTAAACAATTGTACAAAGGGGTGATTCACATATTACGTTCGCACTTGGGGGGAGGGGGGGGGGGTCGGCCAAAGCGAACTTTTGTGAACGNGTTAATAGTTAGGTTAGGTTAGGTTAGGTTAGGTTAGGCTAGGCTAAGCTAGGTTTTGTTACTAATTTCGCGATTATGTCTTTCGCGATTTTGTCCTAGAAATTTTAATTTCCCGATTATGGGTTTCGCGATTTTTAAATTCGCGATTATAGGGTAGACCCTTATTATAGAGGCTTACAAAATAACGTTATCTATTGAAATATATGCTTCCATTAAATACATTTATAATTAATGTAAAATTATAATTGAATTATTTCTAAAAATATCTGTTAAAAGTAAGCATATCTAAGATTACAAAGAAAGTTTTAAATTATTCAAGTAATTTATGTGTAGGACATTACATTGCCCTTTCCCTTACAGTTACAGTTCCCTTTCAGGCCGTTTTAAGGAGAATCCTCCAGAATGTAGGAGGTTTGGCAACCCTACAGTAGTATCATGTAATGTTAAGAAATTAATTTTCAATGCAAACTCTTACAGGTATTTCAAAATATAATATATTTAAGTTAAGTTATTTTAAGTTATATTATAAGTTATTTAAAACAATTTTTGCACATATTTTGACAATTAGATTAAAATGAGTGAACAAATAAATTGGGAGTTTTAATTTGCACTTTTTGATACCCTACTCATGAATTTATGTATATTTATATGTACTGTATAACCTTGATACAGTATTAATAATACTGTATTATGCACTACTTTCACACTAAACCTTTTGACTAATTTGTACTTGATCATTATTGTCTAGACTCTAGCATTTGTGACTTATTACATTTATGATTGCAATGATTGCAATAGATTTTCAGGTACAGTCATTTCTTTGTTAACTTAATCACAATATGCTTTACTTTATTATACTTTTGCAAATCACCGCTTAGTACACTTATGGGACTTAAATAAAATTTATGTTTTAAAGTATACTGATGTCCCTGATAAGATATATCTAACAATTATCGGCTTTTCCCGGTCATTTGGTGTCAATTTGACGCCACAAAAAAGATACCGAAAGCTTACAATTTCGTCACTAATAATACATTTAATGAATGAATGAAAACACATTTAAATGTTTTATTCATTTCTTGTAACACTGGCTGATCTGTCATTTTTGATACCTTTCACTGATCAATAAAATAAGTTATTTAAACCATACCTTAATTATTAATTAATTACTGTAATTACAATAATTAATTACTGTTTAAAACAAATAAAATGAGATTGCACAAAATAACATATACTGTCAAATTGTTGATTATATTGAATAAGGGTGTCCGAAGCGTATTAGCAGGATTTGAAATTAAAATTAAATATTTACAATTATATTTTCAAATAAAAACTACACCAAAATGTTGGAAATTTATTATATTTTTATGTGCGATTCATAAAATGTTCATAAAATTCATACCCTGGTCATAATTCTAGTTTTACCGCATGCATGTCTGTTTTTTATGCCAAAAGATTTCTTAGAGGGCTATGAATACAAAGCATTGATGCGAGCATTGGGTGACAGTTGTATTCCTATGGTATTACGCAAAGAGATGCTAACTATGAGTATAGTATAACTTAAATATATCTGGTTCAATATATCGGATGATACCTGACTAATATAGGCTTATCTGTCGCTTCTTGCAAGCATTTTTGTTTACAACTAAATATTAACATCTTTTTAACTTATGCTAACAACTTTTTAAAGTGTGCTAATCCCTGATAGTGTAAAGTTTGAATATGATGCGCTAATCACTGATAAGAGAGAGATTAAGTTAGATGTGTTGTACTAAACCCAAGTCATCTGAAAACAGTGTCTCTGTTCCACTCATTCCGGGCTCTGATATAAGCCAAAAACCGACACCAGTTTTGATTGCTCATGAGTGTATGTCCAAAAATTGTTTTTATTAACTTATATATAATATGTACAAGTATTTTGCAATAAGAGTTATATTGAAAACGTTAATTTCATAAGAATATTTATTTTATTTTAAATAATACTAATACAATTACATTTGTGAATTACATGCAAATGTTATACTGTACTTGTTACATTTGAGTACATTGTTACTAAAATGGTACAGTTTAAAGAAATTACTGTATCTGAAAATCTATTGTAATAATTGCA